CCTCAATGCTGCTATAACCCTAATATCTGGAGTGGCCTCCCTCCTATCAGGCACCAGCAGAGACACAACACTGAACGTACAACTGGACATCAGAATTAGGGCATTTCTCTAAGGGTCTATTAATTTTGATTTATATCTGTAAAATGTAAAAGTCTGATTTTTTCCCCTAAATATTTACTAGCCACCATATAAAAGTATTTTGTGATTGAACATCTTAAAATAAATTCTGAAGAAATGCAATGATAGTAACCTAATCAACTACCTGGAGATGCGCTTTTGACTGGAAGAATTCTGGGTTTAGTTTCCATTTTAATGTTCTCTCTTTCAGGTTTCTGTGGCTTACTTTGAGATTCAGATAAGCGATTCCCTACCAAGTCTTCACTACCATCGGGTACCAGCTCCTCATCATTTTTGACGGTGACTACCAGCTCATTTTTCTTCACTTCATTGTTTGAGTTCTTGGTTTTCAAAAAAGACAGTTTTGGAGAATTCTTTTCTTCATCATCAGATATATGAAAATCATTCATTTTTTCCTTAACTGAATTTTCATCTACTGAAGTGTCAGAAAAATCACCTAAGGAAACTAAAAGACAGAAGAGAAAAAAAATGTTTTCAACAGAATATTTTAACATTTTGAAGGTTACATTAATCAAAAAGATTATCTTAAAGACTAGAAATGAACTTACAACTGTGAAAAGATTTGTAGCTCTAAAAAAACAGCTAACTTAGGTCGTTTTATTGACATTTATAAAATAAAAATTTCAATTTCATTCATTTATTCAAAACATACTTATCAACTGTGAATGGTATGTCAAGCCAAGGACTGTATTAGCTCCGAGAAAAGTCATCCAAAAGTTCTTCAAAGTAACAGTCATGGACATTTAAATCAGATTTTGGACTGTAAAGCTTTTATTTACAAAAACTTCATCATACAAAATCAAGAATATTTGTAAATGGAAGAATTTGCTAACTATATATTCTTCCATAAAAATTTTGGAATTGCCATTCCATCTACACCAGAGAATTAGATTTTACTATGAGAAGAATAATAAAGAATGTTAACCTAGCTATATGGCAATGAATTAACTATTGTTCTGATTACTTTTACAGAGACCACTGAGTTTCTTACTGAATATTAAAGTATAAAACACTGAATTTCAAGTTTAGAATTTCGCATGTTTATCCTGAAATGTAACATGTTAGTATTTTTACATAATCAAAAGAAATGAAATTAATCATTACAGTACTGACAGATTGTGTTTTTAAAACTGATCCCCTTTCACAACCTTGAAAATTTGATTTATAAAAAGCATTATAAGAGATTCTGATGTGCACAAAGTTTAGTTCTGTGCTCTCTAGTTATGAACTCTCTGTAGAGTCTCATAGGGTTGAACTTAAAGATGAACTTGTCATCTCCAGTGTGGTTTATCACTGACAGTAAGTCTGCTGTCAGTTAATTTTCATTTCCATATACATATTCAGAAACAACCAAGGACAATCATGCAAATTCTTGAAAATTAAGAGTGGCTTTTAAACTCATTAAAAAGTTGGAGATCTAAAACCAGTGAATTCACAGGCATTATTTTAACCTAGTGATTTTCTTGGAGGGTTGGGCTAAACGAAACCATGGAAGAAAAGACAAGAAACGTGGTTTACTTTCCCACATTCCCACATACCAATCTCATCACTGTCAAAGTCATCTGAGTATTCAGAACTCCTTTGTCTAGCTGAGCGAGCTGTAATTGCTTTTATTAGCTCATCCTGAAATGAGATAATTAAAATCAATTTCCAATCAGATGTGAAGGTCTCACATTTAATTCTTGAAACAAATAAGCTCGATTAATATATGCTTTAAAGCCTAGGTTTCATTCATCTAACAAATATTCCCTGAAAGCCTATCTTGTTCCATGCACCCAACCTCTCAGACTCAATGCAGAGCATCACAGACATGATCCCTCCCCTCATGGAGCTTACAGTTAAAGGAGACAGACAGTATCTAGTAAATTCATTGAGAAACTCAATTTAGACGGGGTTCATTATAAACTGGCATTTTGGAAGAAACTGGCATCCTTTATGATCTTTTGTTTCAAGATATTGCTGTTAACAGATGTAATCAATACTGCAAATTTAGAGGCTGAGTTCAACATTGTATTGACTGGACAGAAAAAGCTTAAAGATTATGTTACACCAGGAAAAAAAACATTAAAAAATTTATATGAAAATAGCAATCTGAAGTTGTTATTCCACTTTTAGACGCTAATTTAACTTGTAACTTTGTAAGAGCCTAGTATTGAGTCTAGTTTGGTAGTCTTAAAGCCACACAGAAGAGTCAGTAATATTGGAGCCCAAATACAATCAATCACCTGCAGAATCTCAAATGAAACATAAGATTTACTCCAGCTTTACACAGGGCAGTTCTGGAACCACTTTCAAGTCCAATATTCCTAATACAGTGTTTTCCTTGTAAAATCATTCAAAATAAAAAATACTTTACCTGGAAAGTAGTTCTTTTGGTGACTTTTGGACTCTTTGTATATGCCAAAGTTGTACTAAAAACTTCATCGGACATAGTGTGTGTTTTAATTCTCTGCCTTTATCAAATGGCTAACAAATGACAGGAATATTTCATCCTCTGATGGTGGCTGAAATATATAAAAAAAAAATCAGACTTTTTTTGCATGCTTGAGAATTTCTATTAGTACACTTAGAGCTCCATCCCCCCTCCAAAAAAAAAAAAACAAACAAAAACAAGGAAAGCATCATATGAACAGCGAACTATATCTTCACTTAAAAATGTAAATAAGAGTTCTTGTAAAGAAATAGCAAATTCTAACTAATAAACTTATTTTCAAAAAAAAGTAAAATTCAAATTGAACTTGTCCTAAAATAGTTTTACAGTGAAGGGTGAGCAAATAAATGACTGCAATAGGTTGTCGCCAATTAAGACAGAAAGTTTTTCTCTGTGCCATTCAAAAAGTGTAATATTGACAACAAAACAGCCATACTTATTTAAAAGCTTACCAAGAGGACAACTGTCAGCATAAAGTATATAGCTAAGACCAATCATCACTAAGAGGAAAAAAAAAAAAGCTTGCGCACAACGCTGGGGAAAAAAAATATCAATAGCGATATCTTTCTTGTCACTCTCCCCTCTCATAAAAGTGTTGATAGTACCAGATAAAACAAAACGAAGCTTCCGCGATGGACTGCACTAAAATCACTATACAAAAGGTCCCGTGAACGTTTCCAGAGCTGGAGACGGAGCCCAGAGCCCGGCCCCGCCGCCCGCCGCGCGCTGGGACCGCTCGGCACGACCAGGTGGCGCCGGGTCCCCGGCCGCTCCGCCCCGCGCGGCGGGCCGAGCGCCCCGCATCAGCCAGGCGGGTGCACAGCCGAGGGCCGCCGACGCTCCGATCCTCTGCGACGCCCAGGTCCCCAGCTGCGCTCACCCTGCACTCCCGCGGACAGCCCCCCACGGCCTGGAACCCAGCGGCGGGCCTCGGGTAGGAGCCCTTCGCCTGCGCCTGCGCTTGGCTGCTCTCGGAGACCCGGCTCTGCAGGGAGCGAGGAGGCGGGACTAAGAATGGAGGTGGGAGGCGGTTGCTAGGAAACAGCGTCTCCGGGAGGAAGTGACTTCTCCGCCACCTGGTCCCTGGTTACCTAACACCTCCCTACAGCCCGACGCGTCACTGGGGCAACGACCCAGACGACGGAAATGACATCAGCCTTCTGGGTCTAGGGAGAGGGGTGCTTTATTTGCGGCCTGTGTTTCAGTCGTTGCCTAGGAAACAGGACCCGCCCAGCTCCCACCGGGGAACTGAGAGCTGGCCCCTGCCAGTAGCTTGAGGGGCTTCATGCGCACTGCTATAAAAACCAAAGCACATCCATCATTTTATCACAGGGCATGAAGTTCTATGAATCGG